GACAGAGTTTTTTTTAAATAAGAAGAGAACCTTTATTTTGAATCGTATTTCAAAAAGGAGAAGATTATGTGATCTGAATGTGACAATTTTTCTTTTAGTTGGAATCTTGTGCTTTCCATGTGATCTTACGTATGCGTGTTTAAAATTTAAGTATCGGTTTAGAGTTATCCTTAATACTGCGACTAGAGTCTGTTTTGTCGTGGCTTAAACTCAATATTATAGAGCTATTTTTCTAAGATATGGAACCCAAAAATTAAGGGGCGTGCGAATACTTTCTTATAGAGTGGGTGGATATTGGTAGGTGGATAGTATATAACATGTATTAAGGATAAACCCCAAGGGAAGAGTAAGGTTTGAACTGATTTTACTCAATAACGTTAAAACGGTTCAAGGAATCTTTTGATACATTACTAAAGACTTTCACTATCCCGCAGGAGCTTTCCCTTATGTTAATCATGTTAGTTGAAGGTAGACGTGAGAAAAAGTGGTTTCTATTTGATTATAGAAAAAGGAGTTATACATTTCTGTAAGTTGTATTTACATAATAGAATTCGATTTTATTGATTATAGATCTTCCTCAGAAATTATTCTATGGATAGATGAAAGTCCTAAGAAAATTCATTCATGGTCCGCTTAAAATGTGTAGACTATGTTATCTGCTATAAATTACGAATTACTGACGAGTTTTTTTAAATCGGCTGAGCATATTGTTGAGTCGTTCATTACAAATAAAGAAACAATGTATTTTTTTCTGTGTACAATATTCTCACACAACTACTACTTTAACCTTAACATTAATCATGCACAAAGTGTACGCGGTAGGCGTTATTGTTTATAATGTAGTTTATCATTGAAATTAAGTTAACATGAATTTTATGAAAATAGTTAAAAGCGAAAAGGAAGAAAATAAGCTTTCATCTGAAAAGATTGAGAGATTACAGATTCTAAAAATAATAGATTCTTGAAATTAATCATTCGACACATCCCACTTTCCAAATATGACGTTTCTTTTATATATATTGATCTTGGGTATTTCTACTATTTAAGGATCGTAATTACTACCATCTATTAACAAAATAATCAGAGTACGGTTATTACCTATTCATAAGAAAATGAATAATTCCTATTTATTTACAATACTTAATACAAACCAAATCAAGCCCATGGTTTTTCGTAGGATTATTAAAACTGAATGAGTAATCCTGAATTAACCATCATTCAAAATTCAACGATACGTACGGGTGTACGGATCCCATTGTTATCAATCGTAATTTATTATGCGGATTTCGAAATATACGTTAAGTGTGTACCCATCGTTTGTTTGGGTCCATTAATTAATAATCCATCCCTTATTTACTGGCTACACATAAATATTTAATTTCAAATAAGTACAATATGACATATTCTACTAAAATTTTAGTTAAGAAACAGAGATTTTTGTGCTTTAAAAATACGTTTAACAAAGTTAAACACGTTAATACATGACCTGTATATTAATATGTAAGGTGGTATGCATTATGGAAGTACATGCTTCTTGTAAGGCTAATTATTAAAATAAGGAGTGTAAAGCACGGAAGACCATACATGAAGGATGCAGTTATAGTCGTCTTTTTAATAATTGGCCTTACAAGAAGCCTGGTCTTACAAGGAGCTTCATAGCCAATTTGCAAGCACACAGTAATTAAATAATTTCGTGTGGGCAAAGGTGCGGTAAACAAATATATTTAATAGAATCTAATTCTGGCTGTTTTTGTTCATCTGATAAATTTGCATTAGCAACAAAATTTTAGATGAATATTAAGGACACGTATTTATTCCACACTCGACTGAATTATCTACTGAAACAATCCTAAATTGGTTTTAAGTTTAGTTGTGTTAGTGAATAAGATTTTAGTTGTTGGGAATTCAAAAACGTCTATTCATTTGTATGTAATAGTAAGTACAACACTGAAGTAGGTATGCCCGTTTGGTTAAAAAAGAAATATCAAAATCTGTTCAGCATTAATTGTTATTCCGCACCGTGAAATATGCATAATATTTATAAAAATAAAAAATCGTCTGCCTTTGTCTACCTACTTCACCCGCCAAGCAGCTTGTAATATAAATTTGTTAGTTTAGGTTACAGGATGCGATAAAGCAGTGAAATTACAGAATGACAGGCATAACATTTTATCACAGGCATCACATGATAACGTGATGTTGTAGCACTGTTCATATATGTAAGTATATGCAGTAATGTAGTAAAACTAAAATATTGCTTGACACACCTATGAGCAGAATACATTCGAATTGACAATTTCTTCGTGAACCAATAAAGTATGTAATAGTGTTATACTTCAGACAACTTGGAAAATTACATCGTACGTGTAAATTGGAAACCTTTGCTAACATTCACAAGATATTTCTAAACTGAGGTTGTAAGTGGTAAAGACACAAATATTTACCCCGTAGCACTTTCCTATATATCTTGTTTATCTTATCCTAGTTTGGGGTTTGTTTTATTTCTAAGTTAACTAATAATAGTTAATAGTTCTTATAATAAATGGCACATATTTTGCACAGAAAAAGGTTGATTTTTTGTGTAATAAAATGGTACAAATTATAAATTTAATATCAAAACCAATTTATATATAAAACGAAAATGTTTTTAAATGTATGTAGACACTGGTTGCTCAGTTGCTTATTAGTTTAACGATTTCGAGAAATTTATATATATTGTTGTAAAAATATAAAATATTGTAATAGCAATTTGTGAGTTCAAGTAGTGTCATAAAATTATTATAAAAAATACTTAACTATGCATAATATTGTTAAGTAATAAATATGATATGATTTATATCAGTCTTTATTTCTAGGCTTTCATAGGGTTGGGGTACTTCCTAAAAATGTGTGTTTATTTATATTTATATATGTGTTAAAATATATGTATTAAATTACGTGTTTAATTACAATAGTCCTGGCCTTGTCCTTATGTATCTAGTACGAGAAGCACATTTACGAGGAAACTTCGACTATTTACGAACCAAGACGATGAAACAGTTACAGTTTTAACAATAATGGAACTTCTGGTATAACACCAATAAGACCTTATTACGGTAATTAATTACGTATAAGAAATATCATAATAATCTTAGAATAACTTAACAAGAATGAGAGCAATTGTTTAGTATGTAGGTATTTACAAAATCAGGTAAATTAAGTAGGTATTTAATGAGCTATGGTATTTATATTGTTACATTTTCATTCTCCTACATTAGATAAAGATAGAGACAGAGTTAAAATTATATAAGTATTAACGTTATCTATTCATTATGGATACATCTCTACATTTGCCCATTTTCATAAACGAGAATGCATAACAATTCTTATGAATAATCTCTAATTTTACGAAAGTTAGTAATTCGTTTTATGGAAATTGCGTGAGGTTTTACAATAAACTCCCAGAGTGTGTACTCAATTTGCCAGAAAAAAATTCAAATGTGCAATAAAATATTTTCTTTGTAAAAAAGCTTATTATAAAATTGAAGAATTTATAAATGATAATAATGTTTTTGTAGAAAATATCTAACTTAAAATTCATAGCGCTGACAATGTTATCTGATTGAACAGAGATTAAGTGCGTAGCGGTTTCTATGTTGTTTCTCGTATGCCTAATCCTTGTTGTTAATTAAATATAAGTAAACCAATATTTATTTAAAAGAGCAACACAGTTTCTTTCTTATTCTTCTTGTGATGAATCTGCATTCCGAATAAGCGGTAGAATCAAAAAACTTGACTATTCAAAAGTGCTTATACATATTAAGTTTATTTGAATAAAGATGATTTCTATTTCTATTTCAATAATAGTCGTCGTATCTGTGATCTATCAGAATTAAATATATACATACCAACTATTCATATATTATATTTTGTACTACCATTTCATATTAAATGCATTATTCGCTGGCATAGGTTTGACGGCTTCGTATTTCATCTTTTGGTCTAGCGGTGCGGTAGTTTTTTAGAATATTAGCACACTGTCTCACTTCTGATGGTCGGGGGATCAATTCCTCGTACGGTACAAACATTTGTATTCATGAATCTGTTTCTTCATAGCGGTTTATGTGTATTCCATGTATTTACTAAAAACATATATATCTATGTATAACATTTGTATCAGTTGTCTAGTACCCATAACGCAAGCTCTATCTGGGTTAACTTGAGTCTAGATGGCGCTGTGTGAATTGTCCTGAGATTATTATATAATATTTTATAGGTAAGTACTTAATATGAAAATTAGGTAGCGACACAGTAGTAGTGTATCTTCTGATATCAACAATTTTAATATACGTGTATGTCACACGAATAAAGTCCGTTTTGTCTGACATCTAATTATTTGGTTATAGCAATATATGAAAAGATGCAGGATATTGTACTAATGTTATACCACATTTATTTTTTGTAAGTATAAAAGTATGATTAAAAAAAAAACGGTGTAATATCAAATTTATTTCATACGTGTAGCTCACACACGGGTGATTAATGACACGGTGTATGTGTGAGACGAGATTAATAATAAACCAGTTGGAAACTTTGTTTATACCACATTTGTGTTAGCGAACTAACTAAAATGTTGAGATTTAGCTACTATAATCCTACCCTTTAAGTGACTGTGTACTGAGATTAGTGATATAACTTAGTTTTAATCATCACGGCGTGTTACTCTAAAGGAAGCTCCTGATGAAATCCAATACAAAGTTGTAAGCACCTTATTGCATTTGCTACGATCGATCATGTTTTTTTTTAAGTATTTTTCAGGTAGGTATAATGTTATTCACACTTAGAGCTATTTTCGCCATCATCTTAAAAATCTTTTAAGATTACTTTAATTTTTATTTCAAATAGGTACGTCGGCATATTATAATGACTGAGTTTTTATGTATTATTATAATATATAGTGAAACGTCAAATACAACTATTAATGAAAGAGATAAGCAAAAAAAAGTTTATTTCTACGAAACAGCACAGAAATATATTTTTATATATTTTACAACATTTAGTAAGGGAGAATACATTGCTTACTAAACCAGTCTTTAATATCTTGAATCTTGTAAGAGTCTGGAACTACCGGTGCGTTCTGAAAAGGATCCGTAACTTCTGTCTGTCCTCCTCCAGAAAGTCCTCCTGTCGGATAGGAATGTGACACTTGGGGTTGGTTGTAGTTCTCATCCAATCTTATACTTCTATCCTGATTCCACGTCAGCCTTTGCACTTGACCTTGCCATTTCACAACCACTGATGGAAACGGATCTCCTCCTTGCAACGTTCTCAGAATACATGGAATAGATGCTAATTCATCACTTTCGGTTTCTATATATATTTCACCAGATGCTACTCTGCTATCCACAAATTGTGAAAGCAATAACACAGAAAATAATTTAATAAATATGTTCATCTTGCTTCCTCGGAATGATGTCACTTACTGATCAAGCGTCGTTAAATTCTCAATGTATTTGTATAAATTAGCATTTACTAATGTGCATACATATTATAGTATCATTATTTTATTATCAGTAATTATAAATATAACGCTGTGTTTATTATTATTATGCTCACTAGAAATCGGCTAACGAGCGATGATAATGATTCTATTCTTACAATTGTTTTCGCATTTATTATCTACATGGAATTTGAGTGGCTGTCTGTTATTTACATTCATCTAAAAATAATTTAAAAACAATATTTGTTACTGATGTAAGGTTGGTAATTTTTATTAAACAGAATTATTGGCTAACAAAGATATATTAGATATTATTACATTATAATAAACATTATTTAAAAAAAAAACTACTAACATTCTTATTAAAAAAAAAAGTTTTGATGTAGACCAAACCTCAATTTATACAACGAAACATATCCCACTTTTACCTTCAATTCTTAAGAACTGTACGTAAAATATCAGGATATATTTTGATGTGATATATATATATATATATATACTCTTATATACAAATGTAGATAGAAACTAAACCAACTGAGTCCTTTTTGGCTGGCTAGCCAAGCGTAGCAGATGGTAACTCAGCGCACTAAGAAACTTACTCGTAGTTCTTTGTGTTGAAAATACAGCACAGGTTGCTAAGTTAGACTACTATATCAGTCGCTAAGAAATGTAACCAAAGTTATTGGTAAAAATAATGTTTGATACAAACTTGACATTTCTGTTTTAAGAAATTCTGGGGATGGACATTTTGGAAATTATCTTAATTGATAACTATATTAAACTTTATTACATTTTTAGTAGCTTATTTTAAAATTAGCAAATATGTTGTTCTAAATAGAACTATTCACTCAGCCACTAATAATAATCAGGCATAATGAATATAACTGAGTGCCGTCCTTTTTTAAAAGATATGAGAAATGCTAATTTGGGGACTTTGTCAATATTATAGAATCCAAACCAATATTAGTTATACTTTTATGTTTATCTGTTTCTTTATTGTTTGTATGAAATATCCACAGGAATGATTTGTATGTAGTTTTTACAAAAGTATTGTCCCTATGCTTAAAATATAATACATTAAATATTACATTAATATAAATAATTCTTTAATTTCAATCAGTGCCAAAATGTTATACGGGTGTAAATTTGCGAGTTATATTATATGTATAAGCCAAATTTCATAACGAGCGATATCAAAGAAATAAGGAATTAAATTCAAACAATGTCCTCCAATTCCAAATTAAGTAGAGATTGTACAGTAAGTAGATACTAACTAGCTGATAGAATTATTTATATACTCGTACATACCTTCTATACATAGAAAACACTAAGACAATAAAAAAGGCATATTGGTGATTACATAATGTTGGCGTGCGGAGTTCTAAACCTCTTCATCACTGGAAGTCAGGTATTATTGTTAATTTGCATTGTACTGTAAGTTTCATAATACATAATATATTTTGATGATGAAAGAGGAACGGCTATGTTATTACAACAAGGAGATCAACAAATAGACAAAGACAAGCGTCAGTAACTCTCTTTGTTATTAATACAAATTTTGTATCCGGCCCATCTGGACTGGAAACTGGAATGATCTAGGTAAATATTATACCCAACATAATTATGTTTGAATGATGGCCACGTTTCGGTAAACAACCTAATGCGGGATGCTCTAACTTATGTTCCATTACACACATTTAATGTAACGAGCCTTTGGTTAACTTTTGGTTATATTCTATTTTAAACTGGATATTATATTACAATTAGAAATGCAATGTTCCAACATTAATATTTTTTTATTTATATATTTGAACAAACAGCACAAACAGTTGGAAAGTTATTAAAACTTACTGCACTCATTGTCAGAGACAGTTATCATTGGAATTAAATGTAGCGGCATAATTTTAATGGTACTGCTATCTATAGGAATGAGATTTAATTTTTAAAGAATGAAAAATAGGGATCGATTTCATTTTAGAAGTAATTTATCCTTTAGCAATCATCATTCAGTGTGAGACTACTGAAGTTTAAAAGCTATTTCGACAACTAATTGCACTTAACAACCTGCTTCATGGATTATCTATTTTTTGGAGAATTTCACTATCTATCACTATAAATCTGTGTCTCTATTGAACATTATGTTTCAGAACTGAAATTCAGAATACAAAAATTGTTTCACTAAAGTTGGGGCTTTCCGAGATCAGTTTTAATTATATTTGTTTTTGATTGTGTTCGGTGGCGCAAAGCTAAATCGGCGACCTTTTACGCTTCGATAGAAACGTTCTGCAATTTGTTCGTTGATTCCTTGTTAATAAGGTTTATTCTTTAATATATTTGGTTTAAATTAATGTTTATGATTTTTCCTAATTGTAAGATATTGTAGTATCCGTGTGTGAGTTATATTTGCTATTTTTCTTCCACAACTATACTGTAAATATAATTTTAATAAATAATTACATTCCGTATTTTAGGAAATTTCGTATCCTTTGTAGTCCAACTTAAACCGGACGAATAGGTCCGATTCTCAGAAATTACTAATGTAATATTAACCATTCTCAAGGATTAGTTTTCGATAGCAGCCCAAAATTTTAAGAAGAGAAAAATTAAAAATAATTTTTACTTTCACTTGAAGTTTTATGATAAAATATTATTAACTCAATTTTATTGCGTACCTATTTCAATAAGTTAATTATAATATTATACTATAATAGATCTAGTTTGTTTATTTTTTACTTTAATTTATCCTGGACAATTCTATTCTCATAGTGCCATCGAGTACCACTTTAAGCACAAATTATGCTATAACACTAAATAAGAAATTGTATTACAAATATTTGTTTTTTTAAGTACGTACATATTAGAAATACCCAGCCTGATACAAACAATCATACTCATGAATGCAAATGTATCGTGCGAGAAATGAAACCCACGATCATCAGAAATAAGGTGGTGTTACAGACCGCTATACCACCGAGGCCGTCATATTTGATTGTAAGTCTTTGTGTAAGATCTTACTAGTCTTTTGTTTATTTTCTCTTTTGTTTAGTGTACATTGTTGTTCTATATACTATGCGTCCTATGAAATGCTGCGAGCAACAGTTGAAGTTTTAGCGCATTTTAGTCCAAAAAGTTTAATTGAAAGTCTAATATTATTAAAATCTAATATTATAATTGATTACAAATATTTAAATTCAATTTGGTTATAGATAAATTTATTCATATAATAAATAAATACGCATATACTGTGTACCTATACACATATAATCATTTATAAATTGCTATTAGTATATTTTAATAATACTGTCAGTTATTTAACATCATGTGTTTAATAATAGATATCCTTAACTACAGCGGTGAGCGTTCATTTCATCTTCAAAGAGAACATTTTGATGCGATCGGGACGTAAACTGCTTTGAACAGTCAGGGCTTCTTGTAATTTGTTTATATTCATTGTACTTGTAGGTGCAGTTTCGGCAATTAGTAGTTATTTCGGCATTATAGAAGCACTTGCATTATCTGATAAAAACGGTTCGTGATTGATATTGGACGGTGGTGGTTTTTATGTGTAGTAACGATATAAGAATACTGGCAATATACTACGCTTTATTCTCAGTACATAGTTATAGTTGTATACAGTATATGGTTGTAAAAGACTCTCTCGTGAGAGGCAACTCCTATCAACCAGCAGCACAACAAACATTGTAACAACTTATTAAAATTATTTAAAAATCAACGATAACAAAAATTTATTGCTTATTTTATAAAAAGTTGACAATAATGTACTTTGTATTTTTTTTTCATAATAAAGTACAAACCGTAGAAACTATACTAATAAAAATACTCCTTAAAGAAATTAATTACGGGGCTCTCAAATAATAAAATATGTAATTGTAGGTATATTAATATAGTAGTACTAAGTTTGTTATTACTGACAAATATGGTCCTATATATGAATAAATAAAATAAAATAAAAAAATGTACAAAATTATAATGAGAGTAATAGACATCATCTAATTGGGGTCATAATAAAATTAGCGATGAATTTGCGTCAACATACATTCGAGTAAAAATATGCGTACAAGTCTGCTATTATATACATTAATATTAAAAATAGTCTTACATGCTAGAACAATAGCTTAAAAATCTTGCACTTTTGAATGATAGAGCAACTTACTTATGAATTCTCTAAATTAATAAATTACTCGCTATCCGAAAATCCAGTACTTATAGAATAATGAAACATATAAAGGTCCTCATTTCAACAAATCTAAATATACATAGTAAACGCAATATTAATTTCTGGCTAGATCGTGTAAGTTGGCCCGTTATCTGGCAAGTTTCCCCGGACAGTCCGGCCCGGAACAGTTCCAATTTCCGGATACCCAACCGTTTCGGCCAATGGTTTATCGGCCAGAATGAGTACTCAAGACTTGTAATTATAGAAATGTGTTTTGGTAAATAAATTTCATCTAGATACCAATTTATGTTCATTGTTTTGTGTATTTGTAATAATTAATTTGTTATCTAAACTAAAATTTATATTATACTAGTTGACCGGTTCAACTTCGTCTGCGCCACATTCTGTTAGTTATTGCAACTACGCTTTTATTGACATTAGAGTAATGTTATGTAGCCTATAATAGCCTACCTAGATAAATGAGTTATCTAACACTAATACAATATAAAAAATCGGATCAATATCTTACAAATTCAAAATACCTCTTTATAATATTCGTAACCAAATCTTAATCTACACGAATATTAAAAAGAGAGTGTCAATTTTATATATGTATGTGTTAGGTAATATATCTGTGTATTTTAAAAATTCTTTGGTCATTAAAAGATTGTAATGATATGGATATGCAGTGTATCACGCACGGCATTTTCAGTATTTTGATAGTGTCAAATGAAAATATTCGTTTCGTGGAAAAAAAAAAGGATTTTTTATCAATATTGACGCTTTTCAAAAATATTGTGTCGTATTCTGTTTTTTATTTCGAATTTATTAACGGGTAATTTATTAAATTTGTTAATAATTATATAGGTTAGATACCGCAAAAGATATGTCATAATATACTGAACCGTTACTAAACGTATCTTAATTAAATTTTACTTGAAAATAGATTCTATAATACTATTAGGAAAGGCAGACTATATTTTGCAGACAAAATCGCGCAGAACAACTAGCATTATATATATTGTGTACCCGATACGCAGTCAGACCAAGTCATCGGTACTCGAGAAAAGATATACCTACTTTAGCATAATAATTATTATCAGTCTGACGATCTTTGCCAATTAATGCCGAATAGCAATCCTACTAAGTTCGATAATCCTCATCAATTCCTCTCATCTATAATCAAGAACCACTGGTTAATTGGAATAGTTGACTGAAATTGACGAGTTGCCGACTACAGTAATACAATGATTCAATGCCAAAATCGTTAACGCTATTTGTCTGAGCTCCATTCCTCAAGGTATCATACCGGTTGATTAATTTCTTATCGCATTATAACAATCTCGAGAGGTTATGTATAAATTTAACGACGTCAGTGCTCTAGCGGTTTAGTATACTGCCCTAGTTTTCGATGTTTTAGGTTCAATCCACGGGCAAATATTTGTTGTTGCGAGTATATCAGTTTGTATTGGTTTGGGTCTTTCTATGTGTATGTTATGTATATAATTTCTAGAAAGAATGTTTTTCATTTGTTTTACAACACAAACTCTGTTTAGTTTGGACAATATTGAGTGACAAATTTTATTATTACAATATATCGGTTCATTCAATTTATGGCATCTGATCTAAAACTAAGAGCTTCTGTTACAGTATTACAGAACAGATACGAATACTCTAGATTTTTTTATTATACTTATATAACATATTTCTGAGTATAAATAAATGTTTTCACCGTGCGAGAATTTGAACCCGCGACTATCGAATGTAAAGCCGTGTGCTATGCCACTGGACCACCGAGGCTGTCGAATTTATTTTTATCAAAAATATATTATAGCCAAATTTAGTCATTTTCAAACTAAGAACTGACATATTTCATAGCACAAAACTAGACTGGTGTAAGCCCCATTAGTTATTAGCTTTGTCCTTTAGTACGGATGTGTGGACGAATAATTTACAACCCTTCCATGAATTACCAACCCCAATCAAGGTAGAACAATTTGCGGTTTACACAGGACCGCAGATTGTTATGCTTAAAGACCGTAATGGTAGTAAAGTGTTGGTTTTGGAGATAATTACTAGATTACTTAACATTAAGAGTAATAACGTAAACCCTTTTCCATTTTTATAACGACGTTGTGTGGTTATAATTATTGTAGTACTCGACTACACGACTGTACCTGTTATAGGGGAGCAAAGTATGTAATTTTGTACGCAGTGATTTAGTATTCCGTAGACGATAAACATTATATATACAACTATGTAATAATAGATATATAAAAATAGAATAGAATAGAATAGAATAGAAAATCATTTATTCAAATAAACTTAATTTAAGCACTTTTGAATAGTCATAACAATTTGTTTTTTATCTACCACTCGTTCGGAAAGCTGTCTCATCACAAGAAGAACGAGCAAGAAACTTGTGTGTTGCTCTTTTAAATAATCCTTGTAAGTTTACATTTACAAGTCGAAACGTGTGAATACAAACTACCAACAAGCACTAATTTTTGGGTCAAATATAAATATGCAATAAGATTAAATCAGTCGTAGTGATAAGAGCAGACCAGTCCCTACAAGTAGCACTCGTTCACGAGTATGACGGATGAGCCAGCCATCACTGCGCTCGATATATATTTACATTGTTGCCCACCACGCCGCCACATGTCTGGACATTTTAGTGAGCATGACTACTCATTCCACACGACCACGTCACAGCTACAAAAATTACTATATGGTAGTTACAGTATTCGCACTTTACATAAGGATGCATGCGGCAATCAATACAAAAGCCGCTACGCTATCATATATCAAGAAAGCAGTATGAAAATTAAAATTATAACGTTGTCCGCAAATAAACTTATTCTTGCTATATATTGCTATCATCTATAAATTCATCTATCTTATAATAGGCTTTTTTACATAACATTTGTTTAATATAAGATTTGAATTGCCTCTCTGTAAGATTTAGACTCTGGCAGTTTATTATAGAATCTTACGCAATTACCATAAAATGAATTACTAACTTTGTGTAGACGGCATTTAGGTAAAATTAGCTTATTTTTATTGCGTAAGTTTCTACTTGTCGTCTTTAAGTTTCTTGAAACTATCTAAGTTTTTCCTTGTATACATATATTCATAAATGTACTGTGAGGCAACGGTAGGATATTTGATTGTTTAAAGCATTGACGTAATGACTCTCTAGAACCCATTCATAAATAGAACGTATGGCTCTCTTTTGTAAAATAAATATAGTATTTATATCGGCACTTTACCCCATAGCAGTATGCCATATGACATAATGCTATGGAAATAACTAAAATATACAAGTTTTGCCGTCGCCACGTCTGTTAATTGCCTTATCCTTCTAATTGCATAAGCAGCAGAACTAAGTCTACTGGCTAATTTTGAAATATGGGGCCCCCATTGTAACTCGAGTCTGTTATTCCTAAAAAAACTGTATATATACAAAATTTACTATTTCATCATTAAGCAATAGCTGCGTATTTACTTGTTTTACATTAGGCAGCGTGAATTTAATGCACTTAGTTTTGTTGGAGTTCAATAATAGATTATTACATGTGAACCAATTTAGTATAGCAGAGATAGCATAATTTACATCGTCTAATTGATTACATTGGCGACCAATTTTAAACACTAACGAAGTATCATCAAATATATCTGCAATTTTTCTACCATGTAGGGAAGGTCATTTATATAAATTAAAAAGAGAAATACATAATATTGAACCTTGAGGAACGCCCATTTTTATATTAACTTAGACTTCACACCATCAATATCTACAGTTTAAACCTATCCTCTATATAAGTTTTCATTAGACTTAGGTCATTATCTCTAATACCATAATATTTGAGCTTGTACAAAAGTGTTTCATGATCTACGCAATCAAACGCCTTCGACAAGTAAAAAAAAACGCCGAGAGCATCCTGTGAGTTTTCCCATGATTTGAATATGTGTAATAAGCGTTACACCTGCATCAGTAGTAGACTTGGCAGTGAAACCATATTGCTGACTGTGAAGCAGTCGTTAATAATTTTAACATTTGGTTAAACATAATCTTTTCAAATATTTATACAGGCAAAATAGAAATTGTCTATAGTTACCATCAAATCTATCTCCAGATTTAAAGAGTGGAATTAATTTGCTAAATTTCATTAATGAAAAGCCATTATCAACACATTTATTGAAAATATACCTAGATAACTAGAAACATATCGATGAATGTACTTATTTATGACATGTCCCAGAGATCTTCCGTATTTTTTAAATTTAACTGTTTGAATATTTTTATTGAAAAGTGGTGACATGTGAAAATTTAAATGAGAACTTTGACATTAGCCTCCAGTAATGTTTTTGCTCGAATTGGAGATGAGTCTAGAGAAGATGTAATATCAATCGGAATATTAGCAAAAATCTTGAAAAATATGAACTATATCTTTTGTTGCTGTTATTAATTGTCATAATTTAATGAAATGATTGCAGGCTTTTTCAGACCGTCCAGTTTCTTTGTTTATAATTCCCCAGATGGTCTTAATTTTGTCAGAGGACTGATTAATTTGTTTATTTATAAAATAGATTTGGCGGCAATACAAACTTGTTTGAAAATTTTAAATTTCTCACATAAGTTGTAAATTTGTCATCAAATCTATATTTTTGATCATATAAATCAAATAAAATGTTTCTACTTTTAAGTATTCTCACTGTTTACATTCTGTAAATTTAGTTTAATATCGTGTCATGAACAGGGTAAATTCTCGACTATAACCAATTTCCATGAAAACCTCACAAAAATCTATAATTTGGTCTATAAGAAAATAGAAGAATGCAGGTATTAGCCCTTCATAGCTTTTACCTATGAAAATTCATCACTAAACATTCTTCTCTAAGTTAAATCACGCAGGAAATTTCTCAGCTTATCTTCATATATATTTACTTGAATATCGTAAAAAACTAATGTTATAAACAACTCTGTCTATCTGTTTATATTTCTGTCTGTCTGTCTCGCTTTACTTAATCACTTAATCAACTAGCTTTTTTAAAGCTAGTTGATTAGTTATATTAGTCGTTTATTAGATAGATTAGTCATTTTTGAAGCTAAGAAGCCGATTCATTTAAGAAACCGATTAAACATTTTTATTTGGCTTTTATTGGGTTAGGTTATTAATCTTTTTATAATTTAGTTAAGGTCACTATTTTACGCGGACGTGGTCGCGGGCACAACTAGTTTCATATATTTGAATGATGAATAATATTTGTATTGCAGGTTGCACGTGTCTCCGGTTCACGTCGACGTTCGGCAAAGAGCGCGGCACGTTCAGCAGCCCGGATTACCCGCGGCCCTACCCGCCGCGCCTCGACTGCCTACTCTACACCTTCCTAGCTGCTCCGCATCAGATTGTTGAACTCGTCTTCACCGACTTCGATATATACAAAGAACATCTTGAGTGAGTACACTGGCATTATTTACTACCGATTTTTTTCAGGATAATCCACACAGCGCCATCTAGACCTAAGTTAAGCTAACAAAAGCTTGTGTTATAGGTATATAGGTTGCTTGTGCTAGACGACTGACACAAATATATAGATTTTTTTCCTAAATACATACAAACATACTATACATAGAAAACACCCAGACCAATATAAACAATCACACTCATGAATAACACTAAACACTGTGCGAGAATTCGAACCCGCGACCATCGGAAGTAAGGCGGTGTGCTAAACCGCTACACCACCGAGGCCTTTAAAAGATCGCCCCCAACTGCTTGCTTTGAAACTCTGTTTCAGTTAATATCCTTGCGAATGGCAATACATGACGTTGTACCCTGAACATCGAATAATAACGTGATGTCTGAGGGTCTGTTCATGTATACAGGTGACGATTGTCACATACCATCAGGTAATCTACGAGCTTGATGAAGTTACATAAAATACCTAGATAACTAGAAACATTCTAGACTTATTTATTTAGAATACCGTAATTTAGTGAATTATTAAAAGTGGTAAGTTAAAAATCAATCGAGAACTTTGTGCCTCCATTAACATTTCAGAACATACCAAATTAATCCGAGAATTGGTGGTAGGCTCCTGTCATGTTGGCGTTTAATTGTTAGTGAAATGTGGGCATGTGAAGTGTCACGTTCACCATGGCATCGACAGTTACAATACCTTTGACTACCCTATTTAAAATAAGATTCATGAGAATGTTTTATTTATGAAACTATTTAACCTCCTTGGCTTCTCACGTGTTTACAGTGTATGTAACGGATGTTTGAATATCCTCAGAACGAAATTCTCGATATAATAGTAAAAACCGCATAAAAATCCATAGCATTGTTTAGAAGAAATAAACGGAAAAACAGACGGACGAAAACAGCGACCTAGATTTCAACTACATATTTGCGCAAAAGTTATTGAATATCTAAAAAACCGAGTGAACAAGTATTTATATTATATTCTCTAATGAACGTATACTTCTAGATTTCATGTAAATAATAAACATAGGAAATATTTTATTAAAATTCCAAAACTGTGCTAACAGTCGGCGAAGTTGAATTCATGCCAGTCAATTATTACTTGATCAAACTTCTCTATTTCGCAGGGGCCTATTTCAAATCGTTTCATTTCCAAGAACTTAACTTTGCTTTTACAAAGTGTTCCTTTTCCATTTTGAACAATATCTATTAATTATGACATAATCATTTCTCATTCATCATTTCTCTAAATCAGGATATTATTTAGAATATACAATAGTATCACTACACAATACAACGGTTAGAAAAGAATATATTTAATTAAAAAATTACGAATCGGTATATTATAACAACGTATAATATTAGTAAACTTCTCAGATTTATTCTTTATTTTTATTTGGTTTTTTGAGGCCACATAATTGACTGCAGAAGCGCACGTAGTCAATCATTGGAGTACCATTTTTTTGGACTATAGGCGCTTCGTCCAAGGCGTAGTCGGCTTCTTTTTCGGTGAAACGGTCTCCCCATGTCATTAGATCATGTCTAATTCTGAAAAAAAATAAAAAAGTTTTTTTACATTAGATGCAATAAATAAAAGTAACATATATATAGATAGTCAATTGGAGAGACATTATACAAATTAGATAGATTTTTCTTGAAAAACAATACTCGTTCCTGCAATAGAAAATCAATTTAGAGAAAATAAAGTGTAGGTTTTAAAGTAGAACACATAATTTTATTTTACTGCCGTGTGTACTGCCTACAAATGCTTTCGTATTTGTCTTCAAGTCAAATTTTCCCTGGGAATTATATGAAAGCCTATTCGGCGGCGTCGTAAAACACAGATTGCATTGAGAATTTTAATAAACTCGGATCCCGGCTTTACTGTACACGTATAAATAATTCTTTATGTCTCATCATCAAATATTTAAATAAGTACTTTGACACGAAATCAGTGTAAATTTTTCATTATGTATAAATAAAGTGCTTTGTATTGGTATCAATCGATAGACTGCTAGATACGATAGATTATATAGATATATATGTGTAAAGAAATATTATTGGAAGTATATACTGGAATGTGAAACAAGCTAACAATTCACGTGATGGTAAGTGACAACCCTTGGCAAATATTGGCAAGGGTTGCCACACATGAAGAGTATCAGATCACATTGTTATGTTGTGCCAGCAATGCTCGTCATGCGCTGCCACTTCGGCGGGCTAAAGTGTTATACCTTCGTTCTCTACATACATATATTTTCATTACTATAATTCTCTTTAAGCTGCTTGATGGGTAAAATATGCACTAACGCAGACGACTTTGTTCGAACTCTATCTCGGTAAACTTATTTAGAATTTCTTAAGGTAGATTTTATTAATTATTTATAACTATTAATATAAGACTATACAATAATTATACTCGTACTTGAGTGTGAATGGAAACCTCAAACAGTTCATCAAAAGCGTCTCTTCTGTCCGTCACAGAATAGGTAATTAATTCAGAGAATGCTTTTAATTAAATGGTTAATTAGATTTAAAAAATATGACAAATACATTTTTTTAAATATTTGGCAAATTATTCAAGTTTAGTCTACTTGAATAATTCGTATAGCCTATTTATTTATCTACACAAATTTGAAGTTATTACTTCCACAAAATGATTAGAAAAAAATTAACTAATAATTTTAAATTAATTAATAGATTTATTACAATTTTATTAATAATATACCGTTTATTTGAAAATTAATTGTTGTACAATTTCCTGAATTCTGTGAATGTTCTGATTGCTGTCGCCGGAGGTCGTAACCATCAATTATTTGGGTACAACCCTTAGGAATCACCCCAAAGAACTGTAATTGGGCTCGTCTGATGTTTGTTTATGAATTATTATGAAATATTTCAAGACGTTTCCTTTAATAAATATTTTGTCCCCGTTATTTGTGAACACCGAGTCCTTCGAATCTATTTTGTCATAAACTGATGAGAAAATTAAATATTATTTTACACTCTATATAACAAGATATTTGCCTTAATTATCTATTTGTATACTTGTAGGGATCGGTCCGCTCTAGTTGCTACTACCGACTCAGTTTATTAATTAGATGTATTGTATTATATTAATTACATATATATTAAAATGTACAAAAATATGTAATAAAACAATGATATTGACATTAATAGAATTTAAGAATAAAATAAAATCATATTTCGAGCAACATCCATTTTGCAATGTGTCTGAATTCCAATGCAAAATAATGACATAATATTGTTAGTGTTTTATATTAAAAATAATTAAAATTATAATTGTGACATAATTATCTATTGACATGTAATTGCAATTACTATTGACATGCTATTGTGTAACGAGATGTGTACATTTGTAATTAAAATAATATGAATTGTGTACTAATTATATTATTTCTATGTAGTCTGAGAATTTTTTTACTGTCGCTATCATGTTGAACGCAACACTTAAGGTAACTACATTATATTGAGTATATATTTGAATCCAAAAATGCTTTGTTTATGTGATGTTCCCATAGCCAAAGAGTCAGCTAGAAATGTAAATTGACACGCATAGTTTTGGTGTCAATCAATTTTGAACTTACTGTCTTTAGGTGTAGAAATCGGGGTACTAAACCACCAATCCATGTCGCTATCTTTCCCGCTAAATGAATGAAAATATCCAATTTCCTTACGGAAAGTTCACGTTTACTCACAAGCTTAGAAGCTAAATCTAAATATTTGCATTGATTATGCATGAGAGGGTTTATTTTGTGTTTAGAGATCGTATTGCTATTATTACGAGATCTAGACGCTTGTCATTCAGTTTGGATCCGCATTTCCTCTTGAGACTGACTGCGAGGGTACGATAGCAAAACTTTGTTATTATAGAACTTGTAGAATTGCCGCTTTTGATTATAGATACTTATAATTTAGAATGAATAAGATTATGTACTTTCATTTTTCTACTAATTACTGAAATAAAATTCTTGTTATTATTAATATGGAAACTGAAAATACAGCGCACTTTTATGGTACGGAATCTGACAAAACCTGTGTCAAATGAACGTTTACTACTTTGAATTTCTTCAGGCAAATTAAGTTCAGTACTACTATTATAGTAGTAATACTAGAGCGTAGAAGACCAAAGATTTATTGTTTGCGTGTCAATTAAAATTTGTGGCTAAATGAAATAAATTAAATGAAATCTCCTATAGCTAACAAATTATTCAGTGAGAAGGTAAAGGTAAAGTAAGCTTGTCATAATCCATATTAGATTCCATATACCCTCGATGCTAGGGATTTCGTTCACTCTGACGCCGATAGTTGACATTGCCTCAGACTACCCCATATGGCAAACAGTCATGAAGTTTTCGCCTTTAATATTCAGCATCAAACTTTCTATACATGCTTCAATATCGCAGAGATTAGATAAGTTCACGTAGTTTGCAGTTGTTATTCCTAATTACTTGCGTGATGACGATAATTAATAACTAGCCCCAACTTTGTTTTGCTATATGGGAACTTAATGTTTCTGATAGTATTAGCAGTCATATATCGATATTAGGGGTTATCTACAATTGCATCACACGATCTTCATAATTTTTGATCCCTTCCCCTGACTGTGTCACGGCTGGTCGTACCTTATTAATTTTGCATTTTAATAAGGTATAATGGATTTTTAAGTTACTCCTTAATAGTTCTAATTTCTTATTTTAATACTGAGGTATATTTTTATTTATTAATTATATGAAACAAGTAAGTCGTTTTAATTTTTTGAACAGTAACTATATACTTGAACAGTACTACGGATATCACTTAAACGCCCGCCGTTATGGTTATATCATACGAGCGTGCATGGAAATAGTTGTCAAGCATGCATTTAATGTTAGACATAGACACCTAAATAAATATACATTGTAAATAAAATAAATATGCAATTGAGTTTCTTGTTCTTGTTCTTCTCA